CTGCGAGGTATGTTGTAAGACCACGATAAATGTATATTGAATAAATGAACACCTAGCTGAACACCTAGCTAATAGAAAGCACTGCATTTGGTGCTGTGAAAGTTTAAATATGAATATTTAAACTAAATATGTAAATATTTAAACAATAGCTAAAAGTGGCTTCTAATGCAGTAAGCAATAGGACAAGTGAAACAAATAAATGAGATCCAATGAAATTAAGTTCACCACCATAAGCAAGGTGCAGGAATAACAGAGCTTACCGCACAGGAGAGAGCAGAGCAATGAGACCATGTATGCAGCCAACACTGAATCCACTACAGTTTATTACGGTAATAATGAGAAATGCCAGGCTGCTATTGCAGAAATATAGGCTTGTGTTTCTCCAGTTTTGTTCCCCAGACTATTGGGGGGATTTGTAGATTTGGTCTTTAAAAGAATGCTTCAGTTTTTACTTGTTATAATCCCAAAATTAACATAAATTTGTTCAAAATTATTTGTATGGCTATGTTATAACCAATTATTTCCACATAATTTCAGTGGCTGTAATTTTATTTATATATGGTAATATGGGCATCCAACTCTAGTAATTTAATGTTGTAGGAGAACAAGAAAACTACAGTGGTGTGGTTAATGTATAAATAATGCCACATGAAGACCAAATAATGTTTCAGACAAGTTTCTATAGAGGAAGGAGAGGGACTTGTGTTGGTGTAGGTTTAGAAAGTCAGGAGCATTTATATTATGGTAGTTAATTTACATACTCATTTAAGATAAAGTTTAGTTTCAGCTACACATTATCACTTAACATGTTAAAAGAGTGTCATTTTAAAGGTTATATTTTGTAGTTTAGTTTGTATTTCATTTGAAAATTTGTTTCAGTTTACGATGATTTAGCTATCGACATAAGGATTTTATATCTGTCTTTGAGTTATGGTTAAGTAACAATATGAAAGCATAATATAGGTCAAAATTATTGGTCTATTATTTTGTTTTTCTATTAAAATATTTTTATGCAATTATAACACTCAGGAAATAATGGTAGGCAACTCTAACTTGGTCCTTGTTTGCTTTCTTCTCTAATTTTTTAGTGCCTCTTCAAAAATTTTGGTGGCCAAAGCTCCGTTAGTGGCTATAGGAAAGAGAATGAGGACACAAGATCTAGACAAACAATGTTATTAAGGACAAGTTTTGGTCGCTATGCTGGGGGTGATTTCCAGCTCTGGAGACTGTGGGAATGGCTGGACAACTAGCCAAAATATGAATGTCACATGTTGGGGGAGTTAAATTAATTAGTTCTGTTTGGCCCATGTTCAGTATGAGGCTCTAATAGATTTCCAGACAGAGTGTAGGGCTCAAAAGAGAGGAATTAGGATTTAGGGAGAGAGGAGTCAGGGTGCTTTTGTCAAGAGAAAGCATTTGAGGTTGTAGCAATGGATGAACTTGGAGGGCCAAAGGCAGAACTTTGATGAAAGCTGAACTTAGGAACATAAAAGAGAAAAAAGCGATCAACTTACCAAAAGTTTCTAGTTAATAATTTGTACCAATCTAAGAATAAAAAATAAAAAAAATTATTTTGATATTTGCCTTATACATTGTTATTTTTCAGGAGTACAAAATAAAACCCATTTACCTACAGGAAAGTAAAAAAAAAAAAAAACTGTGCAGTACAGAAAGTGGCTTTTGGAGGGGAAGGAAATATTGTAGTGTGGGAAAGGGAAACAGAGAACTTACCTAGGACACATGTACCATAGAGTCGGATCCTAGCTCCGCCTAACTTGCCTTGAAGATTTTTTTTCCTGAAGAATGTAAAGAATATTTATCTTAGGTTGCTATGTAGATGAAATGTGGATGATACACACCAAAATGCTCCAGAAAATCATCATTACTATAGGAATATTTGCTATAATTTTCTGTTGGCAAGCTTCTTAAAATTGATAAATTGCCATACAAACATTTCCCTTAGTGTTTCATTATTTTTATTTATATTTCTATTTTTACCATCTAATTACTTTTTAACATTTAATATTCATGAATGTCAGAAATATTCTATATCATCCTCTGCTTTTATGATATAGATTGTACAATGTGAATTACACAGCATGATGAAGCCATTAACTTCATTAACTAGAAAAGTGGCTGAGGTTTGAAATATAATTTGCAAGTGGAAGGAGGAAGAACTAGTAAGGAAGAACTTGCTTTTCCCTGCCATCTTAAAAGATCTAATTCAAAATTTCTAGAGAGCATAAAGAATTAAGTAATTTAATTACTTAAAATTTTTACACCCAAGATGGGTAGTTCCATCAGTATGGTAGGATTATATAAGAACTTGGCATACACCAAATATAAAACATGAAAATACAATGAGCATAGCCTTACACAAGAAATACCTAACTTTTGGGACAGTGCTAAAAATTGGTGCACAATTATGAGAATATGTATCTTATTTTCAAAAATCATTTCTTTTAAGTTTTACAATTTTCTTTCCCATTCCAAAAGTCATATGGGTTATTGTCACTAAAACTCTCAGAATAAATTCAATAATATACCAAAAGATGGAAATACAGTATGAGGGTAGAGTCAGAGTGGTAGTTTCATGAGGTGTGTGATATAGGAAAATAAAACTGTTTTTTTTTTAAATAAAAACAAATAGGTAAGTAGGAAACACACGCCTGCTTGCCCTTTAGCTATAAACTCTAACATTGTTGAACAAAATGTTTTTATACTAATAGGAAAGTATGCTCAAGTACTGCACATTGCAAGTAAGAGATATGGAGAAAAAAAGAAATTACACAAAACCACCCGTCAACTTCCCTTTTCCACCACTGTGTTTTAGAAGTTGTATCCATACTATAAATATACTTTTTTATTGACACATAATAATTGCACATATTTATGGGACACAGTGTGATGTTTTGATACATTGCATAATGAGCATATCATGCTAATTAGCATATCCATCACCTTAAGGAAACACTTATCATTTCTATGTTGTAAGAACACTAAAAATCTTCTCTTCTAGTTATTTGAAATATACAGTGCACTATTGTTAGCTATATTTACCCTACTGTGCAATAGAAAATATATGTTTTTTAATTTTCCACTACTAGTCCCCCCTACTTGATGACACAATTTATGAACTACCTTGGCAAACTATTTGAGGACTATTTGACTATCCTTGAGGACAAATAGTCTTCAAATAGTTTTGCATTTCTGTTCCTAAGTATTATAACAATATTTTTCATGTGTAGGGGAAAACCGATAGATAATTCTATCTCCTGTAATTCTAGTTATAAATATAAATATATTGACTTGTTTATGGCCCTGTAATGCTGAGAAGATGGCACCATGCCTACAGATGATATGATATTTGCATTTTTTAAAATGGAGGAGGAGAATGAAGGAAAGAAAACCAGGCTAGGAATCAACTGCAATATTCTAGTTGTGTTATAACGCAGGTTTGAAACAGTGTTGTGGGAATGAGAGGGAAAAAATACCTGAAAAAGGAAAAAAATAGTGACAGTTGACTTTCATTCACCTAACTTAAGTGATTAGACAGCAAGTATTGTAGGGAGAAGCAATATGGGGTAGAAAATAACTCTAGTTGAATGACTGTCACTTCACAGGGCTGGTAGTAGGTAATTTATACTGATATATAGCTTCTAAAATAGTCCCACAGTAATCTAGAAATGTGTAGAATACTTTTCCCATTTTACAATTGAGGAAAGTATAGCCCAAGCTATATAACTAGAGGAGATTCAAACTCAGACCACTGGCTTCACAAAGTCTTCCATGAAAGTACACTAAGCACTTTTAATACCCTTCATAAAAATAATACAATACAAGCTTAAACTTAAACAAAATGCCAGGTTTGGCAAAAGCTAAATGGAGCCCATTGAAATCAGGAGCAAGATTTGCTTTTCAGCAGGAGCCTCAAGATGTGCCTAAGTCTGCATTGTGGTGCTATTGTGAAAGAGGCCAAACTCATTTTGTAAAAAGATATGCTCTCTGTTCTAATGTGCGTCATTTTGCCCTTTTTACTTTGTTTTATGTTCTCTGGGTTTTCGCATTAAAAAAAATGCGTGAAAAGAAATCTCAATCCTCCAGAGAATAGTAACAAAAATAGTTGAAGTCTGGATAACTTGGTTCTCTGAAGAAAAGGCTAAAGCACTTGTGTTTAGCTTTGAGAAGTAGCAGCTGGGGAGTGATCTATTTATTGCTTTCAAATGCTTTGATGGTTGCTAGGTGAAATATGTTTAACGGTGGTTTTCCATGTCTGAGGAAGCACAAATACAGAAAAAGAAATGGGCTTCTTACTGTCTAGAAGAGTTTAGACAAACTCTTGCCTTAATGCTGGATCAGATGATTCTTTTGAGATCCCTCCAGCTATACTTTAAAACTCTTAGACTATGGAATTGCTAGAATAAAGTTATTTCATTTCTTAGCAGTAATTTGTATATTTTATTTAAATGGAAGATTTTTGGATAGGTTATACTTTTCTTTTGCCAATATCTAAGAAGCTTGGTAAGTATTTGTAAACACACCAAATGTAATTCAAGAGAGTTGTATAAAATGAAAAACATTTATCACTAGAAGACATTTTTCATATACAGTATTTGCTTCCACATAGTTTAAACAAATTCTTTTTTGGATGAAAAAGAAAAACACTTAAGGTAATTATCTTTGTATTTACATAGCACATTCAATTAAAACACCTGGATATTTCATGCTATTAATATTGGTGTCTTGTTTAAACTGATTTGATTTTACATTAAAATATGATTATCATTAGTAGTTTTTATTTCCAAGATGAATTAATTGATACAGGAAGATCCTTAATCTTACCAATTGTTACAAATGCAAATTCTTTCTGAATTTTTTTTAGTCATTAATTCAACAAGTATTTATGGAATCAGTTCTATGCCAAGAACTGATATTACAAATAAATGTAGTTTTAAAATCCAGACTTCAGTTGTTTGGATGTGGGGGGAGGAAGGAAGTTACCTGCTTCTTGATGTCCATGTGGTTTTGCGTTGAACTCCGAAACACTATAGCCTGAGTAAAGCCCCAAATGTCTAACAATCTCAGCCAGTCCAAAGTGGAGGATAGAAATGGTAGCACAGGCTTCGTCTTGGAATGTTGCTTTGGCTCACATCACAAAATGTGTGATATGAAGTTAGTCTCCTTTTAAAATTTTCACCATTGAAAATCTCTCCCATGAAGCATTCATGAGCTTGGCCAATTATATTGGAAATTTTGGGGAATTGCAGTACCGTTTACCTTTGCTTTTCTTCCCACTAGCCTCTGCTAGAATATTGCTCTAGGACTAAATTTCAGAGCACTCATCTGTCCTTCAGTTATGAAAAGCATATCATCATTTTTCAATTTCAATTTTCTTTTCTAAATTTGGACATCTTATCCCATTAAGGGGCTTGACGGAGTAGATTCACCCTCCTTCAATGGCAGTTTTACTTACAAACAGCAGAAGTAAAAGAAAACCTATTAGATCTGTTTCCATCAAAATTCAAATTCTTAATGAATGGCTATGCTTGAGCAGTTTTTGGAAACTTTAAGTGGCTGTCTCATCTTGAGGAGCCATTTTCTATGGGTACATGACCTGTCAGATGGGAGATTTGGTCACTCCTGCCTCTTCTCTGGTACCTCGATGTACTCTTGCCTTTGAAAGAAGGAAAACAAAAAATTAGGTCATTCTTTTCCTCCTCTACTGAATTGGAATTTATCCTTAATCTGTTAAATTACTTATTACCTTACTTCATGTTTATAAAAATTTAGGCATGTTCTGCTTGAGGACATATATCTTCCCCAGCAATTACAAAAGCAATGCCAATTTTTTAAATCTCTTTTTATCTCTGTTAATTGAAAGAATCTGAGACACAATGGAATAAAGAAAATAATAGGTATAGAGAATATATTTTAATTTCTAACTTCCAAAAACTGAAAGGTAGGGGAATATAAGTCCACATTTTTAACATTGTTTATTATTCATTATATTCATGTAAAATCAATTTCTAGGGTGTTTTTTTCAGATTTGTTCTACTTTTAGATCTTTTTCCATATTCCTACATACATTATTATGGCATCACATTTTTTTAAAAAAAGAGATGAAATGGATATTTTGGTTATTCCAAAATGATGGACAATGGCTTAGTTTCTTCAACAGATGTGTAATGCAGGTGTAGATCATCAAAACTTTATGAAATGCCTGCTTTTAATTTTCATCTAATGTCTTGATTGCTTATGAGTAAGTCATGTGTGGTGTTAGAAAAATATTGAAATGCTGTTTAATCTGTTGTTAATTAAGAATAAATTGTCACGTTTTAAAGAGATGGTAAAATACCCTTTTCTGATGAAATAGCGACTTCTTTTTTTCTTTGCTTTTGTTATAGAAAATTAAGCTCTGAGATTTGGATGATTAGACATTATCGGCCACAATTATGATGATGTTCTGATTTCATTGTGAGATAGCAGGAACTTGATGCTTTTTAAAAATTATAAGTACTTCTTCAATGTTTATATTATGAATAACAGTCATGATTGATATTTGGAAATTAGTTCATGGAAGGGTTTACATGAATGTAAGATAATTGCTTTTTTGTGTGCACCAATTGATTTTATTGCTGTGTTTAATGGTTTGTCGCATACTTTACAGGATAATGAATTTCATTTCCTTGTATTATCCCATAAGTAACCTGGAAATTTTTAAATTAGGATAATCATAGTGGCTGTCTTAACCTTGCAAACATGTACTGCTTCATTCATTTGAGAAGTGGAATATATATCTGTCTCTCAAGTCACACCAAATATGACACACGAATATATTTAAACTGTTTTCTCAGAAAGGCATATTTCATATTTGTTAATGTTCTCTTCTACTTGTGTTCACTATTAAACTTTTGTATTTACATGGCTGGAGATGCCATTTTATTAATTAATTATTTTTTATCAGTTCATTTGACAAGGATGTAGGTTCATATTGATTTTTCAAATAAGGGAAAAACTTACACTTAAATATGAACTCAATGACACCCTTAAGTATGAGGGATGCATAGAGTTTGAATTGATATTTAACTTTAAAAGAGTTGGTTTTTTTTTCTCTTTTTGGACTTGGTAACTATACTGAGACTTGCAATGTATATAGATACTTCAAAATTTTGACTCATAGCAAAGAAAGTGAAACTTTTCTTTATAAAGTATAACACTTGATAATATACAAAACAGTCATCTGTATGACTTACCATTAACCTAAATAGAACAGGTACAACTGAAATTGAGTATTTAACAAATTATGTATCATTATTTTTTCTATTGCATGATCCTTCATAACTGTTACAACTTGTTAAGTGGTGATAGTGATCAGGTTTCCTAGAATAGTGCTGTTTGCAAGGTACTTACAATCCAGATATCACAGATATGGCAATGGATGATCTTTCCTCAACATTTGCCATCATTATTACCAGGATTAAAGTAATGAAACAGCTTGATAGAATCTATAGATTTTAAAACTATTTAAATCTATCATTTTATTTATTCTTTGGATGGGTAGCTAACAAGCACCAGATATATTAATATTGATATTATAAATAAAAGCATATATTCTTGATCCATATTGCTTCCATGAGAAGAAGCCCACAGTCATTGTCTTCATTTTTGTATTTCCGTTATTTTTATAAATTTGTAATAGAATATCGCTATATCACTAAAATTAGAATGAAAGAAATAAATCCATCCAGTTATGAAATAAATAGAGACCATATGATAATGATATATTCATCATTTATTCCTTCTAGGTCTTTTTTTATTGCTTTAATTATACTTAGAATGTCCTGTCTTGTAAAATTTTTAAAAATAATATGTACTGGTTTTCTTTTAACATTATAAATTTTTATATTGTTATTAAAATGACCCATTTATATTAATAGTTTATTTTTATATGAAGAATAATGTATCATTCAGCTTAATTTAATGTAATTTTATTTTTACTTAACAACTTGTTAGCTAGCTCAACCAACATGCTTTTTGAAATAATTTGTATTTACCCAAATGACTTGAAATGCCCCTTTATTATATACTATATTTCCATATGTATTGGAACCTCTTCTCACATCTGTTCCATTGGACTATTTCTCTCCGTTCCTTACTAAAATAATTTAATTATATTTTAATAATTTATGATAATTTTATCTTTTCTTACATTTTAATAACTTATGTTGTCAGGTGCATATTGCTATTTTTATTGTAGAATTATCTTAACTATTCCTACATGTTTGCCTATCTTATATAAATACATTTTAAAACCTACTATGCATTCATATATATGTATACATAATTGTTACTGTTAGAAAAATTACTTTATCTTCCTAACCACCAAATATATGTTGAATATACATTTGAAGAATATTCATTTGAAGGAATACCAAACTGATAACTTCCCATGCCTCAAGATGTAAAGATATATATCTTATAATTAGCAAAAGATTAGCTTTTTGTGATACTATAAGAACCCATCTAATAAAAATTGCAGCTTCATTAGATTTTTGAAGTTCAGTTCAATGCAAATCACTATAATCTGACACACTGTCACCCTTTTTTATTTATCATAACTATCTATTCTGGTAACCAATTTTAAAAGATGAATTTATTGATTCCTTTTTATTTTGGAGGAAGTTAAAAATTAGAATTTTGAGGGTATCCCAACTTCATTTGATAGGATTATGGCTTATTCCTCAAGTGTATTAGAGTTGGAGACAATGAATTTTAGGGTCATTGCATTAAAAATGAACTTTGTGGACAATATCAAAATCAGAAAAATGTACTTAAGATAACAATTCTTATTTCTTGTAGGGGGAGAAATTGTTATTAGAACAATCTAGCTTATTTTAGAGTTCATTTACAGGAACAAGTGGCTTTTCTGATATGTATGTCTATCTGGATGTAGCTAGACTGACTCTGCTGGTGTGGTGAAAAATACTTAGATTAATTCAAATTTCTTATGGTTATCCTTTGTTAGTCTTTGGAATTTAATTGTAAAATGAAAATAACAAACTCCTGTCCAGTCTGAAACTAATTTGCTGCCTTTGAAGATATCTAAATAAGGTACTCAAGTGCCCATCTGATGTTTTGATTACTTTATTTGGTATGCATATTTCCTGGGATTCATAATTTTATTTTTGCATTGATAATGCATTTTATTTCTGTTGTGTTTTGATTTTTCAAGCTGGCAGATTTTCACACAGCTATCTAAATTTCTTATTTGGATGAATAACTATAGAATAAAGCCTAATATGAATGTTCCTGAGCACACCTTATTTCAATATCCATTTCTGAAAAAGCCACAAACTGTATTTGAGGAAAGGAAGGCTTGTGTTGTACATACCTAAGGGACAGTCACCAAGGTGACAAATCTCTTCACTTTGCCAGGAGTTAGTGGAACAGACAGTGCTTCACCTTCTCCCCATTTTGCCAAATTTACTATTATCGATTTATTATTCATGTATTCCTTTGGGAAGAGGAATTTAACATTTTTTATATTTTCCAAATATTTGCTAAATGAATATATGGTAGTGATTTCCACACATTTTTATCCAACTATGTAAAACCTGAAAACAACTAGGACAAGGGAATTCAAGTCACCCGGTTAATCAAAATTCATTGTTGAGGGCTTCCAGATTCTTTCTACTAACCTCTCACTCCTTGTGAAGGGATTTTATTGTGAGTAGTTAATATTTTATGGGAATGCTGTCAGCTTCTTACAGAGCCCAAAGGACTTATATATTTTTCTGACATATGATCATAATTCCCATCAGTATGTTTAATGTCAGCATCTGCAGGATTCCTTTGATTTTTAAGGAGAAAAAAAAATAAAGAATTCCAGACTCGTCAAATAAGAATAACTGTGCAAGCTTCAGGATATTCTTATTACTCTGGATGAATGCTTGGGGACCAGAGGGACAGATATGAGATGGATGCCTCTTAGTGGTTTGGTGGTTAACCCATTTTTCCTATGCCTGTTGAACTGTGCCAGGAATGAGAATCTTGAGGACTAGTTTTGCAAACACACATGCACACACACACACACACACACACACACACACACACACAATTTAGGGCAAATCTATATATGTATATATACATGAGTGTGTGTGTGTATATATTCATATATATCCACATATATAAGTATATATAACATAGGATAATATATTATCTAAAAATTGATTATGTATTAAAAGTGAAATGGGAGTTTTTAGTTAAAAAATAAATTAAGGCAAATCCACGATGTTTATACTTGTGTATGATGGGTGTTTCTGTAATTATTTTATCAAAAATAAAATCTCTCCAAGATACTGTCCTTCTACAAGGCACAAGCCCACAAAAGAATCTTAGAATATGTTCATTAAAATGTGACAGGCTTTAAATCAACCAGGATCTAATCAAGTTGTTTTGATAAGTACCATTTCTTTTTCAATTTTTTTTTTTTTCAACTGAGAACCATGAAAAGAAGCATGAAAATGACCTCTTCAGGCAAAGGGGCAGTCAGGCTGATAATTAATCCTTACTAGTGACAGCAATTAGTTTAAAAGTGAAAAAAAAATTATTAAGTTAACTAATATGACTGACCTTTTAACAAAATTGAATGATTTGAATAAACTCAGACACTAAGCATATAGTAAACATTGAATCTATTGATGGTTTTTGCTATTGGGAATCCATGTTGTATCCAATTCAACTTTGGAGAAGATCTTAACAACTATTTGCTTCTAAAAAACATGTAAAACCTTCACTTATACCAAACTTACTCCATCAACAGTTAGATTCTTGGCCATCATTTGTCTATGTTTTCTTAAAGTCAGAGGTTTAAAAAGAAGTCTTCTAATTAGTATATGTTTCCCAGGTAGAATTTTGTAATATTAAGATCTGACTATAAAGTTGTGATGTAGCTAGGGAATCATTGAATCTAAACTTCTAATTAAAAAATGGGGACTTTTCAGTATGTACTAGCTGCACTTATTAATATTTCTTTTATTTCTTTCATTTTAAATATTCAAAGGCCATATTTAGCATAAGCTGTAAATTTTACACAGCAATGCTATTTTCTATGTAAAAATCCTCATTTCCTTTTTGTCATTTGATAATATGTCCCATGTTGACTATTATGAGATATATTAAATTATAAACCTATATTTACTCAAAAAGATATTATGAGACAGTAGGTATGAAATTGAAAAGGAATAGAATGAGTTTTTAATTTAAAAAATATAAAACTTCAGATATTTGGGCATAGTGTATTTCTTTGGCGTGTTTAAAATTTATCTTCAACCAAAGTCAACACAATAATTAAGATGTTAAAAACTAGTGTTAATTTGATTATGAACAACCAAAAAAAAAAAAAAACCTTACTATCACAATTAATATTCTGACAAAGCAACAAGACATGAAATAATTTAAGAAGAGACAAAATTTTCATTATTCATAGACAATGTGATTATATACCAAGAAAACCCAAGAGAATCTACTGAAAACTTTTAGAATTAATTAGGAAATTAATTAAGTTTTAGATGCAAGACATTGTAAGCCTGAACAATTAAAGCAACTGGTATTAGCACAAAAATGGACAGTCTGATCAGTATATTAATCCCCCAAATTCTTGTTTAGTGTGTTAATTTATTATCTTTCATTAAAAATTAACAAAAGTGAAATGAGGAAAATCAAGTTATATCTTTTTAATTATCCTTTTGTAGGGACTTTGACACATAGTATTTATGTGAATATAATCCTCATTCAATCATGTTTATTGAGCACCTACTATGTGCCAGGCATTCCCCTAGGCATCTAGATGGCATCAGGAATAATAATTGTCAAAAGATTCTGTCTTTATAATTTCACTGTCTGCTCATGCAATGCTTCTGATGTTTAATTTTGTTCTATTATTTTCTCTGTCTTCCTCTCTTGATCACATGGCCCTCCTGTATAGGCATCCATTCTAATTTTTATACTGAACATTCTTTCATCTATCTTCCACAAATTGTTCATATATTCATGTGCCTATTCTTGAAACCATGCACAAAGTTCATGTGTGTACATCTATTTTTAATGTATCTCAATGGTATTGTTATAAAGTTATTCCTCTTTCTTACATTTTTCATTCTATATTTTATTTTTTAAGATCTATAATTTTGGCTGCATTTCTCCTGGATAGCATTCCACTGTATACCTAGTGATGGACATCTAAGTTAAATACAACATATTCTAACATAAACTCTATCATGATGGATATCTTTCTATATATAGCATGTCCTGATGGTCATTTTGGTTTGTCTAGGACATGTCTCAGTTTATGTCTGTGCTCCCGGATAATATTTAATCTTCTCCCATTACTATCATCCAATCTGTCTCCAAAATACTTCTCTGGACTTTACACACAGGGATGGAATTGCTTAGTTATGATATATATGTGAAAAATATTGCTCTTTAGAATAACTTTACCAGCTTATCTTTGATTCCTATTTTCCCAGTTCTCACAAACAATTGGTATTTCTCTGTCGTTTATTTTTTCTTTTCTTTTTCTTTTTCTTTTCTGTTTTGTTTTGTTTTGTTTTGTTTTGTTTTGTTTTGTTTTGTTTTGGAGACAGAGCCTCACTCTGTCATCCCGGCTATAGTGCAGTGGTGTCATCATGGCTCACTGCAACTTCAAACTCCTGGGCTCAAGTGATCCTCCTGCCTTGGCCTCCTAAGTAGGTGGGACTATAGGCATGCACCACCATGCCTGGCTAATTTTTCTATTTCTTTTTTTCATAGAGATGGGGTCTCCTTTTTACTCAGGCTGTCATTTACTTTTTGATAGAAATATTTCATTAGCATTTTAAGTTGCATTTTTTTTTCTTACTAATGAAGTAGATCATCTCTCTGTATTCTTCTTACTCATATTAGTTTCTCCTTTCATGTATTAGTTATTTATATGTTTTGTACATTCCCTTATTGATTTAAAGTCTTTGTTTTGCTAATTTGAAGAGTTCCTTAAGTATTATTAATATAAATTATCTTTCTATTAGATTTAAAATGTTACAAATATCTTTCCCAATTTGTCACTGGTGTCTTTATAGTAAAAACTTAATTGTACTTAGATATTATCAATTACTTTAACTTATTGTCACAAAAGCATTTGCAACATATTTTGAGGTTTAGTACCTTCACATGGGTGAGGATTTGGAGCTTCTTTGTGGCTGTGGTGTTAGGTAGAGAATTATCTCGATGTAGTTAGTCATTTTTTACCCAATATCATTTACTAAATTAATATTTGCAAAATAATGTATTAGGTTTTTAATACCAACTTTACAACAAGTTACCTTATATATACAAGTGTGTCTCTGGGCTTTCTATTCCATGACATTGTAATATATGTTTTTCTGCATTTATTTCACATACTTTTAAATGTTGTGCAATCACTTGGTATTATAATATCTTGTAGGGAAAAATTGCCAATTTTTATTACTTTGGAAAATCATCTCAGGTATTTGTAGGCCTGCTTGCTTCCATATATATATATTTTTTAAATCAGTTGTCAGTTTACAAAAAAAAAATATTTCTTGGATTTTCCATGGAGTGGAACTGGATTTATAAATTGATTTGGAGAGAATTTACATCTTCACAATATTTGTCATATCACTGATGAACAATGAATATCTTTCTATTTATGCAGCACATCTTTTAAGTTCATGTATGATGGCCACACGCATTTATTGTTAGATTAATTCCTAGATAGCATATATTTTGTTGTTATAGTCAATGGAATCTTATTTGCTATTACCTCTTCTAATTGGTTTTGGCTATGATTTTATTGTATAATCTCACAGACTTGCTGAGTTCTTTGATTCCAATATTTTTTCAAATTTATTCCCTTAGATTTTCTGTGTAAGTGAACATATAATTTACAAAAATGAAACAAAAAGAACAACCCAGTCATACCTCTTCTCTTTAATGTTTATACCTCTTCTTTTTCTCGTGTAATTAAGTTAGTGAGAACTCTGAGGAGCACATGAACATTGACAGTGATCGGAGGCATCCTTGTCTTACTCTCAACCTTCAAAGCAATGTACCAAATCTATTTTCCAAATATAGCATTTTTTACAGAATTTTATAAGAAACATTTTCTAGTTAAGAAAAATGCTATTTTCAGATTTCTAAAAGCTTTTATTTTTAAAAGATATTGTATACTTAATCATATTACATTATTTTAATAAATGGTTGTACTACTTTAATATTACATTAAAGGTTTTTATAACTATGTTTATAAGTATACATACCTATAATTTGCTTTTCCAGTACTAGCTCTACATGGTTTAGATTAAAGGAAAAACAACTCCTCACCCTTTGGTTTTTAGAACAATTTATTTAATACAGAGATAACTTCATCCAAAACTCTTGGTAAAACATATACACACATACACACACACACACACACACACACACACATATATATGTATATATATGAAATCTTAGGGATTTTGTGAGGAATATGGAATAGAGCTTTGATTACCATTCCAAATTCTTTCATGATTAATGGTTTATTTGCATACTCTATTTCTTCTTTTGTAATTTATGGTATATATTTTCCCAGAGAGAAATTTTAGCTAGGTTTTTAAATGTAATAATGCATAGTTGTCAGTTTTATTTTTTTATAAACATTTTTGCAATATCTATAGTTATATTTATTTTTCTTTCTGTCTTTTTTAGTCTACTCATCTTTTTACTTTAAGTTTGCCAGAAATTTGTCTTTCTAAAGCTTGTGGTTTTGTTAATGCTTTCTGTTAATGTTTGCTCTTTACTTCATTAATTTTTACCTTTATTGCTTTCTTCTATTTTTCACATGTCTTACCTATCCCTTCTCTCTCTCTCTCTTTTTTTAAGTCACCCTTTGATGCCTTTTGGAAAAGATCTACAACTTCATGTTTCAACTCATTGCTTTTTACTTTGTATTAATCTATTCTGCTGTTCACATATACAATGTATTTTTTAATTTCCCAATAATGATATTTTTATACTCTCTCTATTTTTTAAATAACTGTTTGCTTTTACAAGAT